TCCTTTTCTTTCAGAACATTTCCCCAAATTGAAATGTTTGCTCCTGCTCTTTGAGGTTTATACATCCTCCCTCCCTCTTGAATAGTATCAGGACAAACAATTCAGCAGGGCTTAAATGAAAGTATATCAGATGTTGACTAAATAGATCTGGGGCTTCTTTCTAGAGGGGAAAAAAAAAAGACACGTTTCTGCCTTAAATGGTACTCAGTACATTTAGGTAGGCAGAGCATACACACGGAGAGAAAAGTGGAGATGAGTATATACGAATGTTAAAAAGTCATCAAGATGGACTCTAAGATCAGTACACTTGACACACATTATGTGTTTTAGACCTTGACTTTTAAAAAGGGAATAAGTGGGGCGCCTGGGTGGCTCATTCAGTTAAGCATCCGACTCCGGCTCAGGTCAGGATCTTGTAGTTCCTGAGTCTGAGCCCCGTGCCGGGCTCTATGCTGACAGCTCGGAGCCTGGAGCCTGCTTCAGATTCTGTGTATCTGTCTCTTTCTGCCCCTCCCCTGCTCACGCTCTGTCTCTCTCAAAAAATGAATGAACATTTATAAAAGGGGGCGGATTAAGTCACAGTATAAAGAAGTAGCCTATACTAATAAAATCATACACATTAAATACACGGAGAATGGAATCATAATGTTATTGTAGTTGGCTCCTTGCAAGAGGTAGAGTTGAATCTGGGGCTTCAAAGAGAAAAAAGTGGGAGTTACACAAAGGTCTGAGAAGCCCAAAACCACATGGGGATTTGAAAGAAGTGGAGGGTTCGTTCGCCATCGAAAAGAGTGAAGAGATTGGACAGATTGCAAAGGGCTTGGAGGCTGGAATGAAAATGTGGACTTTACTCTGAGGAAAGGAGCAGGAATGTGAGTCATCAGAAACTATATTGTCCTGGTGACATGAGATGGAGCCTAGAGCAGTAGACAGTAAAAACAGAGGAAGAAGTGTTCCTCAGACTTTGACGTGCACAAAAGGGGTCACTGAGTCGCCGGGGATGCTGTGGGTCAGAATGACCTAGGGATGTGGCTCAGCTGTAAATCTCGATTTCCAAGGTCGGCAGGTGCTGGCACCGCCTCTTCTGCCAGTCTGAGGACCACCTTCTAAGCAGCATGGGTCTTCACCTGCTGCACATCAGAACCACCTGGTACTTTGTCACCGTAGAGGTCATATTTTTTTCCTGCAACAGTATTTGTATGTCTTGTACATTAGCATCATGTAAATTTCGCTAACACTGAGAAAACTTACTGACCTTTGACAGAATTCCGACTTGCCACATTTTGCACAAACAAAACAATTTTTAATACATCTTAATTAAATATAGTGGGTGCTTTTTCTCAGATCTCATTGTTTAAAGGTATTTAAACAGAACAGTTTTCATCTTTTCATGCTCCCTTGTCGCGCTTCATGATCAGCTCCATGGTCACAAGAACTCTGTGACTTTTGAGTTACAGTGGGGTAGCAGACAACAGCTGAGAAGGACAATGAGTTGCTGTTTCGTACCAGTACCAAGCAGAAAGGGGGCTCCAAATGGACAGCGTGAAAGTGTTTCTGCAAGCATGAATATCCTGAACTGTAGCAGGAAATAATGGGGAGGGGGGGAGTAAATTGCTTTTTTGCTACTTTTTATAGCATGCATATCACAGTGGTGACTTTTTATCATTATAGTTTGGTACTGTCTTGCAACTATATCTAGTGAGTGAATGGTCCCCAAGGTCGATTCTTAAATCTGGTTAATTTTTCCACCTAAGAGGCAGTGGCATATTTAAGAAGATAATTTTACTAACCTTTTAAAATGTAGTCATCTGAAATTCTGTGCCCCATTTAGAAGACCCTTTTAAAACTCAGCTTCCTATAGCTATTAGCTTAGGAGCTCCAATTTGAAGTACTTCTACCAACATTCTGGAAAATACACTGATTGAACCAAAGATGAAGGCAAAAGCCTGGCAGAAATCTACTAGTGTAGATTCTTCTTTCATTCCTCTATGCCTTAGAGGGTCTTTCAAAGAACTGAGGGATGCATTCACATTCAAGGGGGGAATTTTCACATTTTATTTTCATTGTACAAATTTGAAATGCATGAATTCAGAAAACCATTCAGCGTCAGTAACAGTGCAGAAGGTACTCTTGGAAATGTTCGCCGATGACTCTCGGGTCTCACTTAGAACATTAAGTACCAGAGCCGGGTGGAACCTTGAATATCCGTCCTGGAAATTAGGGATGGGAAAGAACTCGACATCTTTTTGCCTTTGTCATTGGCACCTCAGAACGACGTATTTTTAATAGCGTTCGGTAAGGTACTCCCACCGCTTCCTTTGGAAGGCAGTCTTTAATCACATCTATCGAGATCTTTTGATGTATTTTTTTAACCACATTTCATTGTTTCTACTTATACTAGTTATTACCATCTGAATTAATTCACCCACCTACCTCCACCCCCTTGCATCCTGTTTGAAATTGGTTGCTTCCTAAACTCTAACTATACCCAAAGGCTCCAGAGTTAGGTTAATTTTCTAGCCCCTTCATCCGAGATGATTGGTTTTTGTATCACATGTTCAGTATTAAATGTCTCCTGCCGAGAGGACAGACCATCTCTGAATCAAATTATTGTAGCCCACGTGGTGTGGGCGCAGCACTCATCTCCCCACCGGACCCAGCCAACTGGGCTACAGACCAGAGCCTCCTTCCCAGGAGCAGAAACCTGTCTCACTCCATCAGTCTTTCCGCTCCTTTCCCAGTAGATGGTCGGGAACTCGGTGTGTACTTCCTAGATGTTCTCCACCGCACCAAATTCAAGGCCAGCAAAAACGGAGCCAAACTGCAGTGTGGCTCTCAAACCAGGCCTCAAGCAAGCCAGGCCCCTCCCTGGGGCTCCCGTGTTTCCCCAGCTCCCAGGCAGGCCCTCCTGCCCCACCTGCATAAGTGTCTACGCCCCGTCCGACCTCCTCCCGCTCAGGGACCAGCTCTGCCCACCGCCAGTTCACCCATCTTCTGAGAGGCACACAGCAACACCTACCAGAGCTTGCGGTGCCTGCTCCAGAGAGGCCGCAGGCAGATCGGGGTCCCTTTGGCTTCTCAGCAGGCTTGTCACCTGGCCATAGTTCTGCGGATGACGCTTGACTGCTGCTGTGGCAGGCAGTGCAGTCACACACCCACCCAGCGCCACCACTGTTGCCATCCAGGCGTGGGGCTGGCCCTGTCCTCCAGCTGAAATGACCTAATTCCTGACGCTGTCCTCCCATCACTTCCTGTCTCTGAATGGACATTCCTAACAGGAGCAGATCCACTCCAGCCCCTTCCTATGCTCTGTGTGTGGCTTACCTGCCACCAGGGGCACCCTGTTGCAGGTCTAAGCTAGGCCTTGGCTGAGGAGCAGCTGGGTGCAGGAATGAAGAGCCCCCAACATGTCACCCCAGCACCAGGCCACCCTCTCGGGCCACTGGGGGCTCTCTGTATCTCTCCAGGCAGAAGAAGATAACAAGGGGCAAGGGAATTAAGAAGGCCTCCCTCTTGCCCAGGCTGGAAGTCTCTTATGGGCCTGCCATACAGGTGGGTGCGGGGAGATGGGCAGGTGACAGCATCCTGCACTGTGCAAAATGCCTACAAGCTTTAGAGCACTAGGGGAAGGCCCAGTAATGGAACCCAAACCTTCCAGGCTTGGGCAGGCAAGGACGTCAACCGTGTCCCCTAGTCCAGGGCCCTTTCACTCTCCCCAGGGCTGGAGCCTCACCCACGGCCAGGAGACCAGGGGCCACTCAGTCCCCTCCTTCTCCTGTATGTCCTCCCTCCCCCTGAAGCCCCTGCTCCCCCTCTCTGTCCAGAGCCAGTCCTTGCTCATCAGGTAACCAGTCCCCAGGTCATCCCATTGTCTTGAAAATCCCCACAGTGTCCATGGTGGGCCGGGCCTCTCAGCCACCTGCTCACTTACGTCTCCCAGCTACGGGAGGAGGAACAAAGCAGACATCCATCCACTGAACAAAGATTCAGGGGCCAGGCCTGCGCTACGCGCTGGGGACACCTGGGCCACCAAGACAAAGACCTGCCCTAGGGGTCTCACGTTTTGGAGGAAGAAATAGATAATAAACATAAACAATAAATGTGACTCATGTTGGGCCGTGGCAAGTGCCACACAGAAGAATAAAGCAAAGTTGGCGAGGAGATGGACAAGGTGCAAGATGGACAGGGCACTTCTCTGGAGAGACAGCAAGTGCCCACGGGGCCCCTTGAGTCCATGTCTTCTTTCATGTGCACCTACAATGTCATTTCCTTTCTCTCCTCCTTTTTTTTCATTTCCTTCTCCCTTCCTCTGTGAGTCCCTCCCAGTGAACACACCAGATTAAACCTGCTGATACGCACACGCTCGCACATAATTTGGCTCTTATTAGGAACTCATTACACCAGAGGAACATCTCTGACCTCCCACGCTGTGTTTACATTGCTACATGGGCTTCTGCTGCTAGCTTGGCTTTGAAGGACACCCCGTGCCCCTTCCTAGTTTCTGAGTAGACCCTCACCCCCGACTCTAGGGCGGTGGGCAAAAAGGAAGAGGGAAGGCAGAGGTAAAAAAAAGAAAGAAAAGAAAGAAAGGAAGAAAAAGAAAGAAAGAAAGAAAGAAAGAAAGAAAGAAAGAAAGAAAGAAAGAAAGAAAGAAGGAAAGAAGGAAAGAAGGAAAGAAAGAAGGAAAGAAAGAAGGAAAGAAAGAAAGAAAGAAAGAAAGAAAGAAAGAAAGAAAGAAAGAAAGAAAGAAAGAAAGAAAGAAAGAAAGAAAGAAAGAAAGAAAAAGAAAGAAAGCAAGCTAGCTCAGCGTCAGGCCCTCAATCGGGAAAGTTCTGCTGTCTAGGAGGACACGTATTCAGGGAAGGAAGGGGGAACATGGCCCAGCTTCTCTGCCTGTCCCTGCCCTCCTAGGCCTGTGTGACTATCCCATTCCCTTAGCCCTCAGCCCAGGAGAAAGCCATCTGACAACACTTCTGAGCACACGCTGGCTTTCTTTTCAGCTTCCTGGAAAGAATCGACAGCGTCAGTCTGGTGGACTACACACCCACAGACCAGGTATGTGAAGCGGGAGCCCGCGGCCACCTGGGTGAACTTCGTGAGACTAAAAGAATTGCCAAGTATCACTCACTGATTATTTTAATGGGCATTAAGGAGAGGAGAATCCATAAGACAGCTACTTCTTGCAAACCGTTTCCACTGTCCCTGCGCATGCACGTAGTGTATCTACCAGACCCTGTGCTGTGCCTCCCAACCTAGCTCTCTAAAACCTACTAGATTTCTAAACTGCCGGCATCAAAGTAATTTCCCCTGCGGAATAGGAATGCACCACTCCCGTGCCTCTGGGAGCCTCAGCAGAAAAGTAAACACGTGCTTCCCCAGCAAACTCTGCCCATTCTGCTTTGGGCCCTGACCTGGCTTACATATCACACGCGCACTCTCCAGGGTGCCCCAGAGCGTCGTGTCTGGGTCGAGCTGGATAAACGTGTCCCACTGCACGTTCATAAGTCACAGAGAGGGACCGCCTGTGCCCCTTGAAACCTTTGGCGCTCAGGCACATGCAGAGACTTGGAGAACCCTGAATTGCTCAGTTTAGGAGCCTCCCAGCAGCCTCGAGAGCTAGTGAACGCCAGGAAGTTAGGGGGCTCCGTTCAGACAGCCTCTCCAACACCCCCCCCCCACAGTGTCTGTGTCCCCTGGAGGGCCTTGGCGGTGGGCCCTCTCCTGGCGGCTCTCTCCTCTCTGCCACACCTGAAGGCCTGAGCTCCTCTCTGCCCCCAAAATCCATCTCTCTGTGAGACTGACCCCAAGAGCTCAAAACCATCCAAGCCTTTGGTTTCTCACCCAGAAGGTCTGCCCCCGGAGCAGGCGGCTCTGCAGGTAGGTGCAGCAGCAGAGCACGGCGGGGTCTCTTAACAGTTGCAGGAGAGGCACAGAGGTATCTGCAGAAGTGATCAATTAAAAAAAAAAGAAAAAAAGAAAAACCCTACTAAAGGAAATTAAAGCACAGCTATTAAGTCTCTAAGACCAAACCAATATATTCATTGTGACTTTCTGCTGGGGGGAGGGGCAGGGGGAGGTGGTGAGACAGAGCATTTGTCTGTTTAATTATCATTGTTTCTCTTATGATTGGAAGAGATGGTCATCTGAAAAACTCCGATATTATGGTTGCATTCAGGGCTTTCCTCCTGAAGGAGAACAGTGATGCCACTTGGTTTGTCTTCTTGTTCTCAGGACCTTCTCAGATGCAGAGTTCTGACATCAGGGATTTTTGAGACCCGATTCCAAGTGGACAAAGTAAACTTTCAGTAAGTTGTTGACAGCAGGCCTGCTGTGGAGGCGAGGGCAGGATGCACCCCCCCCCCCCACCCCGGCTGGCATCCTGATGGGGTTGGGGAGCTCGGCCTTCCTCTCCTGGGCTCTGGGACTTCAGACTTCCCAAATGTGCCTCGCTGCCCTTTTGGATAAGTCTATACAGACTCTGTGGCCCTAAAGGTCATGCAGTAAGTTTAGAGCCAGAAGGAACGTGGGAGCCACAGCCACCTGAGAAGGTGAGAAAGATCCAGAGACACTTGGGGAGGTACAGAGCAGCCGCTCAGGCAGGGGGATGCCCGGCACAGGCTGCCCTGAGAAGAGGGGCCGAAGCCGACCTGGTGACCACAGGGTGAGGGCTGCGACCTTGAGAAATAACTGGGTGTGGAGTCCCAGGTCAGGCAGAACCTTAGAGCCTGCGGAGCAGTCTGCGGGCGCCACCAGGGGGCAGTGCTGCAGGCCGGGAGCCTCCGCAAAGGAAAGCAGCACCAAGGTGTCACGCCCCCAGTCATCCTGTCCTGTCCTTCTTCCACAGCATGTTTGATGTCGGCGGCCAGAGGGACGAGAGAAGAAAATGGATCCAGTGCTTTAACGGTGATTTCTGTGCTTTGAATCAGCTCAGATTATCCGATATCAAATGCCTTAAATGTGAACCTCATAATGAATTTAAACATCCCGAGGCATCTGGGTGGCTCAGTCAGTTAAGCATCTGACTTTGGCTCAGGTCATGATCCCACAGTTCGTGAGTTTAAGCCCCGTATCAGGCTCTGTGCTGACAGCTCAGATCCTGGAGCCTGCTCGAATTCTGCGTCTCCCTCTCTCTCTCTCTCTCTCTCTCTGCCCCTCCCCGCTTGTGCTCTCTCTCTCTCTCTCAAAAATAAACATTAAAAAAATTTTTTAATAAAAAAAAGAATTTAAGCATCCCAAATTTACATTTATCATTTGCTCATACAGGTACATTACTGAAACAACCACACACACAGTGCTTCTTTCAGTCATTCTTAGAATCACGGGGTGAACATGAGTAGCAGCTGGACATGTACTTGATCATAACCACACAGTGGCTCTCTATCTAACTAAGGGGCTTCCCTTTTTCTCTCTTCTCCCACAAAGACGTCACGGCTATCATTTATGTCGCGGCCTGCAGCAGCTACAACATGGTGATTCGGGAGGATAACAACACCAACAGGCTCAGAGAGTCCCTGGACCTTTTCGAAAGCATCTGGAACAACAGGTTATAAAAATAAGAAATTCAGTTGTGCCTCTGGATTGCAAATTTTCTTTCATTAAAAATACCACCCAGCTCGCTTTCATTTTTATTCTCCAGATATATTCATTCTTTTCTTACTGATAAATCCAAAACTGTTAGCAGGATCTATTTGGGTCCATCTCATGTATAGACCCACTTAAAATGGGCAGTAGTCCTCAGTGAAGCTCTGATAGTGCTCTGTTAAGAAAATTTAAGGGGCATCTGCGTGACTCAGTCAGTTAAGCAACTGACTTTTGATTTCGGCTCAGGTCATGATCTCAGGATTGTGAGATTGAGCCCCACATCGGGCTCCGTGCTGAGCATGGAGCCTACTTAAGATTCTTTCTCCCTCCCTCTCTCGCTGTCCCTCTCCCCATCTCTAAAAGAAGGAAGGAAGGAAGGAAGGAAGGAAGGAAGGAAGGAAGGAAGGAAGGAAGGAAGGAAGGAAGGAAGGAAGGAAGAAAACTTAAATATCTGTTTTGAAAGCTCAAGATTATATCGAGAGTCCAAAACTGGTTTTGCTTGGTTTTTAAAATTTAGAAAGTACCATCCACAAATAACTAGATGATCTCTATAAGATCCCTTACAGGTCAAAGGCACAGCATAATCATGTTTGAAACTGCTACTATTGCAAAGGGATGATTATTTTAGAAAGGAACACCCACCAAACGCACACACACAACACACACACACACACACACACATACATACATACATATATATATATAAATCAAAGTGTCTTCTGAACTATTTAAGAAGAAATATCACCAAAGAAGATAGGAAACATAAGCTGACCTTGCAAAACATTTGGGTATCAGAAAAGTATTTCTCTATCAAGGGTTTAATACCTGTTCTCAGTAACACAGTATTAAGACAGCCAATGAGAAAGAAAAAGGAAATACTGAGTATACGAAGGACTACTTTGGAGTCATTAAAAACTTATATATGCCTAGGTGGCTCAGTTGGTTAAGTGTCTGACTTCAGCTCACACCATGATCTCACCACTCATGAATTCAAGCCCCACGTCAGGCTCTGTGCTGACAGCTCAGAGCCTGAAGCCTGCTTCTGATTCTGTGTCTCCCTCTCTCTCTCTCTCTCTGTCCCTCACACTCACACTCTGTTTCTTTCTCTCAAAAATAAATAAACCTTAAAATGTTTTTAAATTTATATATAAATATATATAAGTTATATATTTATACATATTATGTAAATATAAACATATATAAGGTATATATTTATGCATATTATATACTTATACATATTGTGTAATTATATATAATTTATATATTTAAATTTAAATATATATGTAAACACACACACAATCACATGAGAAAATGACCACAGTATTGTTCAATGAAAAACCAGATTAAAAAACACCATGATCTTATTTTATAAATGTCTGAGAACAGGAAAAAACCTGGAAGTAAAAACATAACAGTTCTAATATTTGCCTTTGTGTGTAATTACATTTGATTTTTTTCATGTATTTTTCTATAATTAAAAATTCATTTTTACCAGCATCATATATTTCATAACAAGGAATAGTAAAACGAGTTCCACTTTGAGGAAGAATGGATTGTGTTTCTAATTCATAGTAAGATTCCTGGACACTAATCATCAGCTTGATTCCTTTGAAATAACAGAATTTACAAAGGCCTTGCTGATGTGCATACTGAGTTCATCTTAAGCCGGTTCTCAGTGTCTGTTTAGGAGAACAGAGAGAGAAACTTTCCAACCTTCTCTGTCACTAAGCCCCTCCCCTAACTCATGACTGATGTCCAGGCAATATCCTGCTCCACCTCTGAAGAAACTCAGCCTGTTCTGACTCAAGCTACAAATTACATTCTGTGCGATTAGCTAATGACTCATGTATTTTATTGTTGTTATTATCGCTCTAACTTCTAGTGTTCTGACCCTTCCTTAGTAAAACTGCAGGTGTATTTATTCCATAAATAGACCTTAGCTTTGGTACCACTAAATTTATATTCCCAGTAAAGATGAATTAGAAAATACTGAACTGCTAAATTAACTATCTCTATTTATTGTAAGATTGACTTATTGTAAGCATGTCTCGCTTGCAGATGAAGTGGGCGTCCACAAGATTGGTACATCATATCATTCTAGATCCTTTACATTTCAGGAAGACGGAAATGCTCTTCTTTTCACTGAGTACCTCCTCTGTTAGAGGTATACTTCCACATACTAGCGGATGTGAAGTTTGTATGTTTATTTCTCTTTTCAGGTGGTTACGGACCATTTCTATCATCTTGTTCTTGAACAAACAGGATATGCTGGCAGAAAAAGTCTTGGCAGGGAAGTCAAAAATCGAAGATTATTTCCCAGAGTACGCAAATTATACTGTTCCCGAAGATGGTAAGATTTCAAAACCAGTTCTGATTCAGGAAGAGAATCGGTTATTTTTTCAATAGCCCTGTAACTGTAGTTCAAACAGTTGTGATGAAACTTCAGGAAATTCAGTTAATGTGCATCCACTCTCTGGACTGCTGCCCCCACCTTCAAGTGCTAGAGTATTAAAATGTCCTATTTAGGATTCCATTGGTAAAAATGTCAGGGTTTGACTTTCCATTCAAACTGCACAGTAGGAGACAGGGCACTTTTGGGTGTACGTCGCTTAAATTCTCTCTCTCTCAGGGTCTTGGTTGGGTCTGCCCTGAACTGTGTCAGCCCTTCACGTCGACCTTGACTCTCACTGTAAACCCTACGTGGGAGTTTGTTATTTGCATGTTTTCCTGTGGAAAGTGAGCTGAGAGAGGTAGTCAGTTGTTCAAGGTCACTCAGGTGGAGCCTGCCAGGACAGGCAGCCTCTGAACCTTCATGCCCAAGCCCACGCTTTCAGCCAACACCTGTCTTGTCCCCAGCAATGACTTTGACTATCAAGGGTGACCTGGCCAATCAGGGGCAGGGTTCAGGGGCGGAGGGCTCTCAGTGCTAAAGCCTGGAAGGCCTGGCCCAGAGCACACCTGTTTCCAATTGCGGCTCCTCAGTTCTCAGCACACGCTGGGCCGCCTTGTACAGGAGTTTATTTGCAGTGAAATGATACCACTTCTAAAAATTTGAACCCCCAGCTAGATAAAGCAGAATGAAAGGGACTCTCCTAGAAACTCAGGTAAGAAATGAAGAAAACTCGTCATCCTTGTGCTAACATTGGCCAGTCTGGCGGCAAGCCCCTGGCCTAAGAGAAGTCAGCAGAGCCTGCGGTGCCTCTCATCCCTGGAGTACGGCCTTTAGCGAGCCAGGCCCTTAGCCCCGCACTCTGGACACAAAGCGTCCCCTGTGACGTGCTTGTCCTTCTTTCCCTCCTTTCTGTCTTGGTCCTGGCCCTCCTTCCCCACTTCTCAGCTCTGGATCGGGTCAAGGTAGCATCCTGCCCAGGCTCCCTTATTCTGCTCACTCAGGTTTCCAGAACATTCTTTGAATTTCTGCCAAAATCTTTCTGAAACACAACCACAACTTTACTTATGATCCCTACCAACACAGACTTAATCTCACCACATGCTGAGGCCAAACGTGGCCTGGCCAGAAAATATTACAAGCTAGGCTCCCCACCACAACCCTCCGTGGATCCTGTGCTCTCTCCCCCCCAACCCTTGGTGGATCCTGTGCTCCTCCCACACACACCCTCAGGGGATCTTGTGCTTTTCTCTCGGCCTGCTCCTCCCTCCCCTCTGCACTGAGCCCACTCAGGCATCTGCCCTGGGCCAAGCAGATCAGGGCAGACTCAGCACCTGTAGAATTCCCCATCACCTGTTCAGCACGAGTAATCATATAATCCTAGTAGTTGCAAGAGAGAAGGAAAACAGCGGTGAGACCATGCAGGGAAGCCCAGATTTTAGGAACTTGGAATCGCATGGGAGAAGAATCAGGTTACTACAGTCAATTTCATATAAGGGCTCCAAGCGCCTGAGTCCGTGGTAGGAACAGTGAAGGGCAGGCCTCCCCAGGTACTAGGCTAAGAGAATGCAGACCACATGAGCACAACTACTGCTAAAACCACAGCCCCTGGAATCTTCTCTCTCCAGGGAGCTCTGAAGGCGTTGGCCGCTGTAGGGTTGGTTAGCGTTCAGTGACATGCTTTCATTTTATCTCAGTGGGAGTCATCCCTCATCACCAGAAACAAAACCAAAACTTTTATCACCTACTAAATGAGAGAAATGAAATTACATTTTAGCTTTTTACCTTGCTCTGCGTGTCTTTTAGTGCTGGGCGTGTACGGCAGCCCTACTTTGTAATTCCTCTATTTCCCATAGAGTTGTAGCTTTGTTTCTCATCACTTCAACAAAATTCCACTTGTAATTTTTACAGCAACACCAGATGCAGGAGAAGATCCCAAGGTTACACGAGCCAAGTTCTTTATCCGAGACCTGTTTTTGGTAAGCAGTTTTCTTCTTCGTTCTCCTACCACCTTAGAGTTATATTGTTCTTTAAAATTTGCATATCACTTACCCTTTCATGATCTGATTTAATCTCCCCCCAAACTATGAGAGATGAGGAAAGGCATTATTACTTCATCTCACCACTGAGCGTACTGAGGTTCAGAGAAGTTGGGCTTCTCACCTCAGGTCACACAGCGCCCAAGCAAAAACAAGGAGCACAGCACAAAGCCCCAGAGAATGCACTGAGGCCAGCCAGACTGTGGTCACTTGTGTTTTCCTAAAAGGAAAGAGACCTTTAGCAGAGTCTGAAATAGCAGTACCCATACTGGGTGTCCCTCCCCCTCCATTCACTCACCACCAAGAGGCTAATTTAGACAAATTCAGATCTCACTCTTTTTTTTTTAACTTTTTATTTTGAGATGATTTCAAATTTACATCAAAAGTGAAAGCATTATGCAGTTAACTCCCAGACACTCTTCACCCAACACATACATATTCCCTTGAATAACCTGCCCTGTGTAGCGCCTGTGAGTTTTTACTAGCTTGACATGGCAGCCGAGGACGTTTTCCCAGTAGTGACCAAACAGCACTGGACACGTGGAGTGTGTGCTTCTGGAGAGGTGAGAATCAGCCCGGTCTGCAGAAGGGATGTTCCCACAGTCCGTCTCACATCTCTATGGGGATCAGGTGCCTTACTGACTCCCCAGGCGAACCTCTTTGTCTTCTTCCCACCGCGGCCCCCCATTGGTTGCCCGCTGAAATCCTACACTGAGTGAGAAAGTAACAAAGATAAGAAATCAAGTCCCCAGGGTGAGTTCTGAGGAGCAGTGCTTCCCAGGAGGTGGGCAGGTGGCACGGGGAAAGGGCCCTGCGGTGAGTAAATCTGGGAAATAAATAAAGCGAGACAGATTTCTCCATTGCCAGACTTTCCAGAACCTTTGCGATGCTGGTGTGCCTTGTAAATCTCTTCACTGAGGCAAATCGGTTTGCAGTTTATCACAGGCTCCCTTTTTGAGGAGCATCTTGCAAGACCATAAGATATAAAGACACATACAAAGCTCTCCTAATGAGGGGCACCTGGGTGGCTCAGTCGGTTGGGCATCCGACTTCGGCTCAGGTCATGATCTTGCAGTTTGTGGGTTCGAACCCCACGTCGGGCTCTGTTAGCTGTGCTGACAGCTCGGAGCCTGCTTCAGATTCTGTGTCTCCCTCTCTCTTTGCCCGCTCATGCTCTGTCTCTGTCTCAAAATTTTTTTTAAAAAGCTGTCCCCGCGTCGGGCTCTGTGCTGACTGCCGGCTCGGAGCCTGGAGCCTGTTTCAGTCTGTCACTCCCTCTCTCTCTGACCCTCCCTTGCTCACGCTGTCTCTCTCTCTCTCCTAGAAATAAATAAAACATTAAAAATTAAAAAAAAAAAAAAAAAGCTGTCCTAATGAGAACTAAAAGTTAACTAAGTGTGCTTATGAGGCATTTAAAGATTAGAAACAGAGCTCCTCCCCCCCAAATGAATGGCCGTGTCACCACCACTTGATGTTGGAAAGAAACCTTTTATTCTCTAACAGTGGGCAAAATCTGGCTTGTACGCAGTTTGCAAGTCAGGGAAATAAAAGCCGGGGGGTTATTGACTTAGGGGTTTTTTATGGTGAAATTTGCCTGGGCCAGTGAGTGGGAGGAGGTTTTGAGTTGGAAGTCCTAACCCCAGACTTAGACGACAGCAGGGGCAGGTTACAGAAACGGTTATTTAACCGCATCGAATCTGGACAGGAGCAGACTCAGGAGAAACAATAACTTTGGGGATAGAGGGCCCCAAGACGGGGTGGGGAATTAAGGCCATACATGGAGATGGAGAGGTCTGTGGGGGGACCTGGCCTTGAGGAAATAAGGGTGAGCTTGGAGAGAAGGGCAAGGGCATAATGAGAAGGACCCCTCTGTAAGAAACGGCCACATGCTGTCTGAGCATTCTCCTTAAATGTCATCACCTGAGAAGGGTAGTGACCACCAGGTTTGTCCCAGTCAGGGTCACTTCCTCCCATGACGGGGAGAAACTCAAATCGTCCCCAGAGCAGGAGAAACTCAGAACGTAGGGGGCCAGGAGCCAGGAGCTCGGAGGGCCAGGTGGTCAGCCCCCCGTGTTCCCCTAGTCACCACCATCAAGCGGTCCTGTCCCTCACACTGGCAACCCCTGCAAGCCCACACCCAGAGCTGGGCCAGAGAGTCCTCCAGGGCAAGCGTCACCGAGCCTTTTAAAGCAGAAGGTGGCAAGCATGAGGTCACCACCCTGTGCCCTGATGCCTTAGGCATCTGTTAGAAGCCTGTATGCTTTAATCAGGCTTCTCTTCCTGGTATTGTATGAGCTCCCCTCTGATTTCTTTAACCTTGAACATCATCTCCTGAGAGAGGACCTCAGAGATGGGCAGTAGCCAGGGGACCCAGTCGAGCACGGTCTGGAAATGCCTAGTTTTCCTTGACAGGCTTATTGCTGTCATTTAAAATGGAAATCAGTGTGTTTGGAGACAAGCAAACTGCCACAACCTTTGTAATGACTCTGCCTGACATTTTTGTTGCCCCAGGCAGGGACAGACTGCTCAGTCATTACAGAAAAAAGCCCGTTTCTCATCTGCCCACTCCGTGTGTGTGGCGGCTCTTCCACCCCATGCTTTAGGGCTACAAAGATACTACCCTACACCTTCCAGTGTCCTTAAGTTGTTTAAAAATTGTAATTGCTCAAGAGAAGCCTAACTATTGCTAAAAATAAGTCTGTGCTTCCAGGAGGAGTTTCATAACCTGATGAACAGCTTTACTCCAGCCCAGCAGGGGTCTCATCTTGATTCCCAAGATGCTTTGCATGAAAGGGCGTGGATGGGGGACGAGGAGGCTGACCAGGGATCCCTGTGGGCGCCTATGGGAAGAAAGCTCCATGTGATCCCTGCATTCACCCACTGGGGAGGCCATAACACAGCACCACCGACTGGGGGCTTATACATTATTTTCTCACTGTTCTGGAGGCTAGAAGTTGAGATCAAGATGTCCACATGGTTGGTTTCTCCTGAGGCCTCTCTCCTTGACTTGTAGATGTTCACCTTCTCATTGTGTCTTCTCATTGTGTTGCCACATGGCCTTTCCTGTGTGTGTGTGTGTGTGTGTGTGTGTGTGTCCCAATCTCCTCTCTTCCTATGAGGACACCGGCCTTACTGGGTTTGGGTCCACCCATGTGACCACATTTTAACTTTAATTACCTCTTTTTTTTTTGTAATATTCATTTTTGAGAGAGAGAGAGAGCGAGCAAGTGGGAGAGGGGCAGAAAGAGGGAGATAACAGAATCTGAAGCAGGCCCCAGGCTCTCAGGTGTCACCATAGAGCCCGATGCAGGGCTCGAACCCACGAACCGCGAGATCATGGCCTGAGCCAAAGTCAGACGCTTAACCGACTGAGCCACCCAGGTGCCCCTTAATTACCTCTTTAAAAAGAGATCCTGGGGTGCCTGGGTGGCTCAGTCGGTTAAGCGTCTGACTTTCGCTTAGGTCATGATCTCGCGGTTCGTGGGTTCGAGCCCCGCGTCGGGCCCTGTGCTGACTGCCAGCTCAGAGCCTGGAGCCTGTTTCAGTCTGTGATGCCCTCTCTCTCTGACCCTCCCCTGCTCACGCTGTGTCTCTCTCTCTCTCCTAGAAATAAATAAAACATTTAAAATAAATAAATAAATTAATTAATTAATTAATTAATTAAAAAAAAGAGATCCTGTCTCCCAATACAGTTACACTCAGAGGTGCTGCGGGTTAGGGCTTCACCACAGGAATTGGTGGGGGAGGACACCAGCCCATGGCAGCCTCTCTCCACACTGCCCCACTTAGGTTCCCAGTGCACATGTGCATATCCCTCCAAGATGTGCTCCTGAATCCTCATCAGTCATGCTTTTCCTCCTCTGGGAGAAAGCCCATGGAGCCCCCCACTGCTAACCCAGGGACACCCCAGGAAATGCTCAAGTTGTATGTGGAGAAGGGCGCAGCAGGACTGATGTGCCATCCACACGGAACCACTAGTCATATGTGGATATTTAAACGTAAACTAATTAAAGTTAAATAAAACTAAAAATCCAGTCTCTGTTGCATCAGCTAGTGATAGTGGCTCCCATACGAGCAGGGGAAATATAGAATATTTCCATTAGTGCAGAAAGTTCCATTGGACAGAGCTGGTTTGGGACTGACACTCAATTCTAGAAAATTCTACCCTGATTTCTCTGAGAGACTGTCGTTTAAATATATATCCTGTCTCGACTGAACACTAAGCGTCTGTGGCCGGAGACAAGTGTGACATTCTTTGAGTTTCCAGCAGGCTGTTCAGTATTTAAACAGTCACAACCCCAGCTCCTCTTGTCTTTGATCAAAGTATTGGCTGAATTCTTCTCCAAGAATTAATGGAGTGGCAGCAGTGTTCTCATGTACCCCTGGGCGTGGTGGCCAGGACCCCACAGCATAGATGGCCTTTTTTTTTTCCAGAGGATCAGCACAGCGACAGGGGACGGCAAACATTACTGTTACCCACACTTCACCTGTGCCGTGGACACCGAGAACATTCGCAGGGTGTTCAATGACTGCCGCGACATCATCCAGAGGATGCACCTCAAACAGTACGAACTCTTGTGAGGCAGCCCTGGGGCAGGTGGGCATGCCTTCTGGCACCTTCTCTCCGCCTGCCTCTCCTCCCTTGGCCACCCTACCAGGTGGAGCATTTATTCCAGGATTATCTGTCAGCCCCAAGCCATGGTAGAAAGTAGGGAGTTCCCGGCTTCATCTGGCTGCCGCCCTGTCCTGTTCTGTGTTGGCTCCTGTGTGACCACCAAGCCTCTGGCTACCTCTGTTCCCCCTCAGGTTTGGTTTGTAGCTTTTGTCTTCACTGGACACAACCTTCCACGGCCTCCCCACCCCCACCAACTTGTGTCACTGCAGAACACTCTCACTTGGGTGACACTGCAGTGAAACCCCTCTGGGTGAGGCTCCCTTTTAGACATCCATTCAGTGATGGGGGAGAAATGGCACTTTTTTCCTGAATTATCCAGAATGATCACAGTGGCAGGGGTACAATGCGGTGAGCCACATGCTTTGTGATCCCAGCTTTATGAAGCTGCAGGTGGGCAAGTGGCCGCCTCTTCTGAGCTTCACTGGCCCAAGGGCGAAGCTAGACCTCAAGTCACAGGGTGGAGAGAAACCCCTTTTCAGTCAGATTTGAGTTGCTGCCAACCTCAGGCATTAGGTTAGACCTACTCTGTGCAGAAAACCTAGCACATTCACCACTGCAAAGTGTGTCCTGTCTACACACGATTCTCTACAGTTTGATATGCTTGGACAAGAGTCTCCCCTCATATATTCTTGTTGTTGTTTTATTGCTGGTTTATTATAACTGTACAGACCACAAAATGTACTATTATTTTATATAATTACTTAAACACCCTTGTAGATTTTTGTGCCTTGATGATGCTCTATGTGTAAAAGAAATGTGTTTTTATCGTGCCGAACAGCTAAATGTCAACATTACCTGCTGCTTGCTCTACAAAAGAAAGTGGTATGTGTAGAATTTAGGATATTCTTCAGGTTAGTGCTTTTAAAAATATCCTTGATTAAATATATATATACACACATATATGTATAAATTACCCACATTAATCATTCACATCTTACAAATAATATTGTACCAACGTCACAAGTTTTTCAGGAATCAAGGATTTTTTTTCTCCAGACAATATGTCTTTTGATTATTTTCCTATTTGAAGACTTTCTACAAGTTCCCTGAGTGGAAATAGTTCAACCATTCCCTCTAAAGTTTTCGAACCACTTCCTTGGGCCACAGCTCACAGCTTCCTGGGTAAACAAAGAGCAGGAAGATGACAAAGGGGTGTCAATGTTTGTGTCTAGCCTAAGAGAGTCCAAGGATGGCATCTCCGTTTGCCTGCTCTTGAGAAGAAACAGTACACAACCTTTAGGTGGAATACAAAGTCAAAATACATGGCTATTTCTCATACTTGAAAGGTTTGTAAACATGGCCTCCAAAGTTACAGTACAATAGCTAGAAGGCAAAAATCACTGTAGCGGTGATGCTTCATATTCTATCCACAGCCACAGCTTTGAGGGTAGTCATCTTGGGCATGAGAAAATCCGCAAAGATGTCCAAATATTTCAACGATACAAATCCAGAGGGAACAGCCTTGCTGACATGACTTCATTTCCTTTAGTCTTTAGTATTTTAAAGTTTACTCCATAAGTAAGCATTTTGTAATCGTTTATAAATGCATCTAGACTTAAATACTACTTTTCCATGAAAGAAAGGGTAACCTTGTCGACCATTAGTAGAAGAAGCACATCATTTATGTCAGCATCCCTAAATTCCTGTACCTCTCTTCCCTGTTTCGTAAAACCCTGATCTGAAATGAGATGCATGAAGTGGAAACTATTGTGTTTCCATTGCACTTTCCATGTAAAATGTGAACTGAAGAGCCACACCCCCCATAGGCACAAAAAGCAAAGCTGCATATTGTTATATACATGATCTCTCGACAGTAACTCAACTCCCTCTTCAAACACATAGCCAAACTTAGAGAGAAGAACACATTTAACCTGGCTTAAAATGATTAAAACATATTTATTTTTAAGTACCAAAAGCCACTTCCTGCTCTTTGTCAAGTTTCTTTTGATCTGACATGGGCAGGCATTAAATTCAGATTTAACAGCATGGCCTGCTGGAGAGAAAATTACAGTCCGCTAAAAATCTGATTCCATTATGAGCAACGAAGTACAAAAGTCTGTGAAAACAATACATTCCTGCTTGTGGCATCTGTAGTTTCATTTTAAGTGTACAGCTTTATAATACACAGGAGTCTGAGGCCCACATCGTAGGGCGACAGAAGCAAGCCCAGTATTTGTGCGCACAGAATCCCAGGTGCCGGCTCCATCTCGGGGAAGGAAGGACAACGTAGTGCATGCGAGTGAGACTTTAACAGCCTTTACATATTGTACAGACACAATCTTTGGTTATACATATATTTGATAAAATGAGAAAACAGACTTGTTGTAGAGTACGTGTTCTGTTTTTATAGCATGAGAACAGTACAATCAACTATTTATCCTGCAGGAATTCGCATCCGTGATTTACAGTTTCTGTGATGGGTATAAAGACCGCCTACTTGGACCCCTTCTCGCGTGAGCACTACCCAGAGTTCCGTTCCCTTGGCTTTGTTATTTGTTAAGAAGTGCGAAAACATCTTCTGCTCTTTACGTTGTCTTCAGTTTTCTGAGCAGGTTCCAACCAAAGAGAAAAGGCGAGGCTAGGAGCTTAAAGTGGACTAACACGAGGAACCCAGCTGTGACACAGTACGTGGCCAGGACGGTGTTCTCGCAGGGGAGGAAGCACTTGACGAGGGCGTACTCTGTGGGGGTCAAACTGCCCTGGGAAGTGAGAATATTAAAGCCGTGGTGAGAGCCCTGCTACAGCACCAACACACCAGTCTTAGACACGACAGAGGAGAGGCAGCCTCCTTGACCTCCAGGCGAGGCCAGGAAGTGGCTCTCCTCCCCTGAGACCAAGGGGCACAGCCTCCACTAGCCACACACCCACCACAGGCACCAGTCGGAGACACGGAGTGGAGGCTCCCAGTGTGCAGACCAGAGCTGGCCTCTCCACTGAAACTAGCCCCCGGCAGAGCGGGTTCCCCTAAGTGCAGTGGACATTCATAATGAAGATGTAAGAGGCACGGAGATTAACATCAGCGGTCATTGAGAAACGAGGGGCACAAGCCCATTTCTCATGGTGCTTGATGCTAACATAAGCAACCTATTACCCAGAAACGCATGCACCGGAAATGCATCTCAATGGGTTTTTCTGTAGACATCTTTGCTACACAGAGTGGCACTGGGAAACAGTTTCATTTACTTTGAATTTGAAAACATTCCCCATCTCTTCATGAGGTAAAAGTACCTGACATAAAAGCATTATGACCTGGGTAAAATAAACACCAGATGGCCACTAACTGAGAGATCTTGAATCAGTCAACTTACAAGAGCCGTGGCCTTTTTCTGGCATGTCTGGAACATAAGACATGGCTAATGAAGACATGATCCTGTTTCCTTAGAAAATTAAAAACACAGAGCCTCAGATCTGAGATCAGTGCTGTCTCTGGAGACGAGACACTTTGTAAGATGCTCCCCCCACCCCCAACCCCTCCAGGAGCAACGCCGAGTTTATTTGTCCCCAGGGAGGTGTTTAGATAGGGGTCAGTGTATGAAACTAAGCGCGCGTGTGGAGCAGGGGAAGTTTGTATTTACAGCTTTTGTATGTATTTACGGATCGCAGCAATTAAATAGTTGATTACTGTGTTGATTTCAATACTTATATGAAAGCTTTCAGATGAAAATAAACGTCCACATTACCATGATGAAACTGGGGTTGTTTCTGTTCCTCCAACTGAAGGATGGCACGCTGATCTCGAGGGTCCCCATCCCGTGGAGCACCTCGCAGGCGCTGTGCGTGTGGCCGCTCAGCACCAGGCGCGGCCGGAGCCACCAGAGCAGCTGCCGCACCCGGGGGGACAGCAACAGGTGGTTAGTGGTCGGACGGGGCCCACTGGGGCCCGTATTTGTTAAGTGAAACATGAAATCCCTACTTGGTACGGTGCTTCATTTTTTTTCCTTAAAATCCTATCAAAAGTAAACTCAAGCTTTTAGGGAGAATCTATCCTCACCCAGATTCTATATTTTTATAAATTTTTTATAAATTTTTTTGATAAATATATTTGTCTTTTGTTACATGGTAGAGCATATCATGCATTATACAAATATGTATTTATATGATATAAATATTTATATGGTATAAATATTTGTATTTTTATAAAATAATATTTATATTTTTATAAAATAATATAAAATATTTTTATATATGATAATTGAAGTATTTATATTACAATGTATTTATAAAATAATATAAAAATATGTATATGTATATATTATAATTATGTTATAATTTAAATATATTACATAAATACAAATTTGTATAATATATAAATACATATAAGTAAGCACATCTAAAGTAAGTCCCCCAAATTAACTCTAAGTTCCATTCACATTTCAAAATACATTTAAATTTTGGCGAAAACTTGGAAGAGAGAATAGCTGAGGATGTCCTTAACTTGATACTAGGCAACAGACGTACTGAGCGAGGTGCGGGAGGGACAAAAAGGTGATGGGAAAAGCTGATGTTGGCCAAGCCTTGCCCTCCTCCCTCAGGGGGCTAACTGGGACAGCTGTCTGTCTGTCTGTCTGTTGGGGGACATTGGGCCCACCGCAAACCTTTTGTGAGGCCTCCCGGGAAAGCGCGTCGTATCTCTCCTTAAAGGGGATGCCCCGCTCTTCCAGAGGTGCGGCGTCCACCCCAGAACAATTAGCATCGCTTCTCCGGTAAAGGGGGAAATGCTGCCAGGATTTAGAGGCGGTTAGATGTGACCAGGAGGCCCTGGGTTGCCCACCAGATATGCGGAGCCGCGTTCTCCCCTCTCACCTGCAGAAGGACCGGGGCTGACGCGGGCAGCGGCTGCTCATGTCCGCACAGGCTGGAGCGATGTTCCTGCTGGTGAGAAATCAGTCAGCATCCTCGGAGCGGTGGGAAGGGAAGAGGGAACTGCGAGGTGGCCAAGACAGAGTGCAGCGACCACGTCTGCAGAAGATGCCAGAACAGAAGCACCTGTGCATTCAGATGGTCTCCTACCTCTCGGGAGCAATTCAGTTTGCGAGAAATTTCAATGAGTTCAGCTTCTGCTTCAGAGCAAATGTTGCAGCCGTCCCCTTCCAGGGCGACGCTGTTGACCATCACAAAACTGAGACAGAGGGAGCAAGCAGAGAGTCAGGGCCACGGGGCTTCCCGTGCACTGTCTTCTAGCAATGCTGTTCCCATGAAGCAAAAGGAAGGCACCCACGGTGTGAAAAAAACATGCCTCAGAACAGCTTTAAATCTCAACTCGACTAATCTATGTTTTTAGGTACGAGTCAATGTTAAGAAAACAAAACAGCATTATACTGGGAGTGGAGTCTAAGACATAAGAGGATTTTTAACCTTGAACTTGTCAGAAATCCCAGATCACACAAACTCTGAGGTCAGACTACCACTGAGCCTCATGTCTGGCCACGTGTCCTCTGTGCGTCAGCTGAAAAGACAGGGATATAATAGCACACCCACGCCACTGACTCATGGTAAGGACTGCATGAAATGCTACGACCAAGCCTGCCACTAGGAAGTACTGGGTAGGTGTTAGATACTGTTGTTATTACATAAAGTGAACCATAGGCAACATTCGCTAGCATCTGCACACTCAGCAAACAAGGCAGGGGAGGGAGGGGGTCTGCAGGTCAGAGCTAACCGGTATGGATAATCCCAAACCAGGGTGATGATAAAGTCAATTATGGTTGCCCTTTACAACCTCTTTACCTTAATTATATTTTTATAGATTCCCATTAAATATGCTTTTATCTCCCACACGCATACCAACTGGGCATGAAGAAGGCACCCGGCGTAAGTCTGTTTGAAATGTAAAGAATTTTAGCGAGAAGGAGCTGACTAACCAAATGATCTGAAATATGGTCAGTGCACTTAAAGTTTCCTAAACTCTACTCCTAGGGAAAAAGAATTACAAGTATGTCAAGTCTTCATATGACTCAGGAAAGGAAGCTACTAGAAACTCAGTCTTACAGGCAAAGGGAGGGAAAGAGCGAGCATTTGTAGAGAAATCCCGACCTGGTCTCTGGGAGCGTCAGAGACCATGTCTTGAGACGGGCCCAGTGAGCTGCCACGGCCAAAGCCATGAGTGCTAGACACCCATGGGGGCCATGACCTAAAGAGGAAGAGCCTTCCTCTCCCACCTTTTCTTTCTCCACTAGGTCTGCAACTAGAACAACATGTATGGTCTCCTCTACTGTGCTACAGACACACACACGGACCTGACAGGGTCCAGACACGGCACAAAGATGGCCCCACAGAAGGGGAGCTGGTGCTCATTCGTGGTCAAACAAAAGGGCTGGGATGCTTTCATGCACAGACCAAGGCCGATGGGAGTGGGGGCAGGGAGCACAGCTACACAGCATAGTGGGACACACCTGCCCCCAACCCGGGGACAGCATAACCTCAACAGTATCCTTTACAAAGGGAAACAGTTGCATTTTGAACAAATAAAATATACTCCTTTACAAAGTGGCCTGATGGAATCTCTATCATCCAGAGACACCGGACACAGGAAGACAATGGCCTCAAGTGGCTGGGCAAAGTCAGAGGCTGGCTGGTCCGCCAGGCTGCTGACTCTGACGGTCACCATCAGAGAGGATGAGGCCTGTGGCACCTTCATCAGAAGCTGTAAACCAGGACATACAGAGCTGGGTATGACCCAGGAAGACAGTTCCTTAAATAATTAAGTTTCCAAGGAATGAAGGGCTTCTTAAGAATTTACAAGTAGGGATGCCTGGGTGGCTCAGTCAGTTAAGCCTCCTTCAGCTCAGGTCATGATCTCACAGTTCGTGGGTTCTAGCCTTGCGTCAGGCTCTATACTGCCAGCTCAGAGCCTGGAGCCTGCTTCAGATTCTGTGTCTCCCCCTCTCTCTCTGCCCCTCCCCTGCTCCTGCTCTGTCTCTGTCTGCCTCTCAAAAATAAATAAGCGTTAAAAAAATTTTTTTTAATTCACAGATAATACTCACTTAATTCCTTTCCAAGAAAACAGCCTTTCAGCATTGAAAACTTTCTCAAATCGTTTTACTTTGTATGTGCTCATCCTGCATTCAATTGTAAAAAGGAACATTTTTCAGAGCAAGCCAAAGATGGACCTCTTCAGACTTAGCATAAACACAGGAAATAACTCAGGACTTGAGTTCTGGACTAGCTTTGTGAGGTGAGAGCTCCAGCTGGCCCCGGCTATCAGGTGCAAATCTCAGCTCCACCACTGAGTGACTCTAAGGACTACAGCAAATGCCTTAGTCCCCAGAGCCTCAGTTTCCCCACTGGCACGATGGTTAAAATAGCAGGACCATTGGAAAGAGTAAATGAGTTAAGATAGGGAAGTAAAGCACTTAAAACAGGCTGGCATATCGTAAGCACAACATAAATGCTATTTACAAAAGTCGAAATGGTCTTGTTTTCGGAGTCCCAAAGAAAATAATTGGTCATTAAATGTAAGTTTCGACTTAGAATCACCCAAGGGCACATACAAATCATTTACTCAGGGGAGATTTGTTAAGGGTGTACACGTGCCAAGGCAAAAATCTTTGCCCTTGTGGAGTTTATGCACCAGTGCTTACATCTTTCAAGGACAGCAAATGTCCCCCACACGGCACAGGTAAGGCTTCCTCCAGAATGGCAGCGGGTTTAGAGTCATAGTTAACGATGGCCCTCGGGGTGCAATGCTTCACTGAACTACTTACTGATAGTGGAAGCCAATGTCATGGTTACCAACAACCACCTTCAACAGCACCTGACGTGGGTGTCTGAATATTTTCTGAAACCGCTCCACATCATCCGCCCAGGCCTGTGGAAAAAACAAGTCACTGCTGAGAGCTAGAGAACCCTCCCTTCCCTGTGGCTAAAAACATGGGCTCTGTATTCTGATGGTAAGAAGTTAATTCCCCTGTCCAAATCAGATGCTCATGGAGCTAATGTAGAACTTAGAATTTCCAATTCTATGTCATACTTCTTTTTCCAAGACTTAATATTTTATTTAATCGGATGCCAACTTGTAATTAAATGATATTCCCCCAGGAGCGCTTGGGTGGCTCGATTGGTTACGCATCCAACTTTGGCTCAGGTCATGATCTCATGGTTCGTGAGTTTGAGCCCCATGTCAGGCTCTGTGCTGACAGCTCAGAGCTTCAGACTCTCTCTCTCTGCCCCTCCCCTGCTCGATCGCACTCTCTCTCAAAAATAAACAAACATTGAAAATTTTTTAAATGATATTCCCCTGTATTAAAATATTAGATGGCAATCCTCAAAAATATTTGATTCATACATCCATTGTTTTAAGACCCCCTGAAAAGATCCCCTGAAGCCCATGCATGGATTCCAGGCTGCTAATCACTCCAGATCTGGACATACTATAAGAAGAGGCTCTTAGGAAATGTCAGGTAAATCCATGTGTCTCAACGAAGACAAGGATGAGAACGCCGTTCTTCTCAGCATTTTCCTGTGGCTACAACTGTGGGTGTGGGAATGGATGGGATGTGGGGGAAAGACAAAATCCAACAAATTCTTCAAGGTTCTTCTGACATTTGCTTTAAAAATTTTTTTAATGTTTTATTTATTTCTGAGAGAGAGACACAGTGTGAGCAGGGGAGGGTCAGAGAGAGAGGGAGATACAGGATCTGAAACAGGCTCCAGGCTCTGAGCTGGCTGTCAGCACAGAGCCCGACGCAGGGCTCGAACCCACGAACCGCATATCATGACCTGAGCGAAGTTGGATGCTTAACCGACTTGGCCACCCAGGCGCCCCTGACATTTGCTTTAACTATTAAAGCTTGAGAATTATGTTAGTATCATTCTGACTTTTATTAAGCCTAAAAACATCAATTGGAGGAACACTGGGAAGACAATACTTAGTTGAATAGTAATTAACTTTATCCTTAAAGTTTTAAATAAGGCCCATGCTAGAGAAATATGCTAGATACAGAGTCCTTCGACACATTTACAAAGACTTCACTTTAACATATAATATTTAAAGTTAGAATAACATAGCGGTGTCTGGGTGGCTCAGTCAGTTGAGAGTCTGACTCGATTTCAGCTCAGGTCATGATCCCAGGGTCATGGGATTGAGCCCTGCATTGGGCTCTGAGCTGACAGCATGGAGCCTGCTTGGGATTCTCTTTCTCTGCCTCTTTCTGCTCCTTCCTCACTCACTTTATCAAAATAAACATTTTTTAAAGAATACTAAAAAATAAAAATAAAGTTAGAATAAAGTAAAATTAGAAAAACATAAAACATAAAATGCCACCCTTAATTTGCAAAAGCGACCTCATTTTATAACTAGTTGTTTGGGGCATATAGTATTTCCATCATCTCATATCTAATTATAGGCTAGATTATAACAAACAAGGCAACCTTATAAACAGTGGGTTTCTATCAGATCCAGACCAAGACCCTCTTTGTTCACCTTCTGGATTATCCTGGGAAATGCCAATTGGAATTTTTTTTAAATATCCCACCCCCCCCCGATCCCTTCTAAAAACCACTTGTGACTAAACATTTTCAACTAAGCAGCAAAAGAGCTTTTTTCTTTTTTTTTTCATTAATTCCAGGAATATAATATAGCCAACTATTTTGACAGCTAGGGTGAGAACAGCCTTTCTCTTTGGTTATGGAAAGGCTTATGCCTCCTCAACAGCCGGATGGGGACCCCTGCGGCGGCCACACCAACCCCCCACGGCTCCTTCTGCACCTCTCCCTCAGAAGAAAGAACAAGAAGAGTAGCAAGTAAGCTTAATAGCACAGTTCTCATAACTTCGTGGTTAAATAAAAGAGCATTAAGTCCAATTATATTTCCATATGCATTCTGTAATTTGGTGACAAGTAACTTCACGGGGCACCTGGGTGGCTTAGTCGGTTAAGCGTCCGACTTTCGCTTAGGTCATGATCTCGCGGTTCGTGGGTTCGAGCCCCGCGTCGGGCTCTGTGCTGACTGCCAGCTCAGAGCCTGGAGCCTATTTCAGAGTCTGTATCTCCCTCTCTCTCTGACCCTCCCCTGCTCACGCTGTCTCTCTCTCTCTCTCCTAGAAATAAATAAAAATATAAAAAAAAAAAAGAAAAGTAACTTCACATCCACCTTGCCTCTTTTTCCCTTTCTGAGAGGATCATGGGAATAGGCATTCCAACAAAGTGAGGTCTAACTAAACTACCTATTTCCTACATAAACAAATATCATTGGCATTTGAACAAGAAGAGTTTGAGCTGTATGAGTCAACTTATCTGTGGATTTTTTTTTAATATAAAGATAGGACCGTACTATAAATGCATTTTCTCTTCTTATAACTTTCTTAGTAACATTTCGTTTTCTTAGCTTACTTTATTGAGAGAATACAGCATAGAATACATGTAACATAAAAAATATGCGTCAATTGTGTTCACAGTAAGGCTCCCAGTCAATACCTGGCTCTTAGTAGTTATATTTGGGGAGAATATATTTGACTGCACAAGGTCAGCACCCCTAACCTGGCATTATTTAAGGGTCCACTGTCTAAGATTAGCTTGCCTAACTCAAGACTGGTGCTAGGTAAAGATCCTAATGACCTTGAAGATAGACGATACCTTTTTAATATTGGTACTGAACAAACCTTCCAACTCTTACTGATACTGCTTCATGAATTTTCTGGGCTTCCTGTGCTGCACGCTGAAAGCAGGATGGGATGAGGATGCCCAGATCACAGGGTCCTACCTGGGGTGAGCTCCACTTCCCTTCATCAAAGATGTCCCCTAGGATGAAGACGACTTTTGGCTGCAACAACCACAGAGCTGTCTGGAAGGCTCTCTCCATTTGCCACTCCCTGGAGGCCAACAGGAAAAAGTACAGCATCAGTCTGTTTCTTAGGGCCAGATCAGTCTTATGGCCATTTAAAAAATGAACTGAGGGGTGCCTGCATGGCTCAGCCAATTAAACGTCTGACTCCTGATTTGGGCTCGGGTCATGATCTCACAGTTCATGGCTTCAAGCCTTGCACTGGGCTCTGCACTGACAGTGTAGAGCCTACTTGGGATTCTCTCTCCTCTCTCTCTTCCCATCCCCCCACTTGCACACACTCATGCACACACACATGCTCTCTCTCTCACCCTCTCAAATAAACATTTAAATATAAAAATTTTTTAAACTGAAACGAACGGTCCCATTCGACTTCCATGGCCCCACCTCTGCTTCCCATCCATGCTTGGAAGGGTCGGAGTCCATATCTGATTAAATGCAGGGAACAGCCCCCAGGGAGTGGGGTCGCCCTGCCCACGCGTCTTAAAGGCTGACTTCCCCTGTGTGGCACCCACAGATCAGGCCCCACACACTCTGTACCCCCAGAAGCCATCCCTCATCACAGCCCCAGAAGTCAGGGAAGGAATTAACACAGCCTCCAAAGATGCCTCGAGTAGACTGATTTTGCACCACACCAAGACAATGATAGCATCTGGCTTTAAGTTTCACTTCTTCTTGAAGAGACCTCAACTTCCTGCCTGCCTTCAGAATTGGGAGGAGATAATGAGAGAATCAGACTAGCTAATACCAACACTGTAAATCCTAGAGACTTCAGACATCCAAGTAATCATCCCATTGGTAACACAAGTGAATGAAAGGAGCCAGGGATCTAGAAGTTGACAGGAAACGGCTTAACACCCCAGCTCCACCCACTAACCACTTCTGTGGCCTTGAGAATGTTGCCTACTCTCTCTGATTCCTATTCTTCGTTAGTAAACAGGAATAATAAAACCTACTCTCGTGGACAGTTACAGGATTAAATGAGATTGCATTTATTTTTGTTTTTTTAGGTTTTCTAGTGTTGTATTATTTATTTGACAGAGAGACACACACACACACACACACAGAGGTGAGCAGGGGAGGGACTGAGAGAAGGGAGACACAGAATCTGAGGCAGGCTCCAGGCTCTGAGCTGTCAGCACAGGACCCAACATGGGGCTCAAACTCATGAATGATGAGATCATGACCTGAGCTGAAATTGGATGTTTAACCGACTGAGCCACCCAGGAGCCCCTCCATGAGACAGCGTTTGTAAAGTGCCCACCACAGCACCAACACACAGTAGGCGTTCAAACATGTTAATGCTTTCTCGACTCATCCTCCCCTCTCCCTGACCAACTATGACCTGTATCCTTTTCCTAAGGATTCCAATTCTTCCCTCCTTTTTAAGGCATCCTCCTGGCTGTTGTTACCCTACCCAAGGGGACTGTGACATCCTGGGGCACATAAATAGGGGAAGGTAATTTGGGGTCAGAGAAGACTGCCCAGGCCCCACGTCAACTGCTGCATGGTGCACCCCTTCACTCAAGATACCTCCCAAAATTCATTTCTCAGTTTTTCTTGATTGAATGTTACTCACCCTGGAGAAGAAAGCACCTAGAAGCAGCAGCAGCAAGAGGGCAGGGAAGAAAGCTCAACTGGTAAAACCCAAATGAAGCCAAAGGAAGTCTTACCCTGGCCCTTCTCTGTTTCTTGCCTCATTTGGTTTAAAACTCTGAGTAAAAAAGGAAGGCCCCCTCCACCTTTCCTTCTTCCGTCTTCCCTTTTTCACTCACCCCTAGGGACATTACACATCTCAACCCCACCCCCCCCCACCCCCGCTCAACATAAGGTTCATCTATATCCAAAGTACTCCACAGATATTCCTGCTAACAAGGTTAAAGACCTGCACAAATACAGTCATGAGGAGGAAAGGGGGCAGGGTATGGCATCACAAGGTCAAAAAGAGAACTTTGGTGCCCCGGGGTAGAAAGCCCCGTCGGTCGCCTTTTAGTGGGCATTCTTCACAATGACCAAGAGGTGGAAGTATCCATCAACAGGTGAAGGGAGAAACAAAATGTGATCTAATACACAACAGAATATTATTCAACCTTTAAAATTACGGAAATTCTGACACATGCCACAACATGGATGAACCCTGAAGACGTTATGCTAGGTGAAATAAGCCAGACACAGAAGGACAAACACTGTATGACTCCGCTTATATGCAGAACCGGGGGTAGACACACCCGTAGAGACAGAAGGCAGAATGGTGGCTGCAGGGGCTGGGGAACGGGGAATGAGGAATCAGTATTTAACGAGGACAGTTTCAGACTGGGAAGATGAAAAAGTTCCAGAGACGGCTGGCGGGGATGGTTGCACAACAATATGGATGTACTTGATGTCCCTGAAATGTACACTTAAAAACTGTTTACGATGGTAACTTTTACGTTATGTGTATTTCACCACAGTTAAATTTTTAAAAAGCCTTCTGATGGGAACGCAGATGGATTCTGCTGGGCAGGTGTAAGTGGGAGACACGGGACCTGATCCTCTGCCCAGGGTGAAAGCCACGTATCAGCAGCTCTGCTCCTGCTGCCCGGAGCAGGCAAAAACCAAGTGGGCTCAAACTACACACCACTGGGGCGTCTGGGCGGCTCACTTGGTTAAGTGTCCAACTTCAGCTCAGGTCATGATCTCACAATTCATGAGTTTGAGTCCTGCATCAGACTCTGTGTTGATAGTTCGAAGCCTGGAGTCCGCTTTGGATTCTCTCTCTCTCTTTCTCTCTCAACACCACTCACGCTCTGTCTCTGGCTCTCTCAAGAATAAACATTAAAAAAATAAAAAATAATTTTAAAAAATAAACTACACACCACTGCCTGCAAGAGAGGACCACAAACCCAGCTCTGTTTCTCCCCCTGCCCAGGGGAAAGGGAAACCTACCTTGACCAGGCACACCCATGTGCTGGACCTTACTGTGGGCATTGTCCTCACACAGCCTGTGAGGTCTCTGGTTTTAATAAGGAGGCAAAGACAGGCTTAGAGGAGCCCTAATCACTTGTCCAAAGTCACAAGACTCAAACCCAGACCTGCTTCCCAAATTCTGGGTCCTCATAAATAACAGATGCTCAGCAAATAGTATGTTTAATAAAAGTCCAATGCCCCACCCTCCTACACTGTTGGTGGGAATGTAAACTGGTGCAGCCCCTCTGGAGAACAGTGTGGAGGTTCCTCAAAAAACTAACAATAGAACCACCCTATGACCCAGCAATAGCACTGCTAGGAATTTGCCCAAGGGATATAGGAGTGCGGATGCACAGGAGCACATGTACCCCAATGTTCATAGCAGCACTCTCCACAATAGCCAAAACATGGAAAGAGCCTGAATGTCCATCAACTGACAAATGGATCAAGAAAAGTGGTCTGTCTATACAATGGAATACTACATGGCAATGAGAAAGAATGAAATCTGGCCATGTGTAGCAACATGGATGGAACTCAAGGATGTTATGCTGAGCAAAGTCAGGCAGAGAAGGACAGGACCACATGTTTTCACTCATATGTGGAACAGCAGAAACTTAACAGAGGACCATGGGGGAAGGGAAGGGGAAAAAATTAGTTAAGGAGAGGGAGGGAGGCAAGCCATAAGAGACTCTTAAATACTGAGAACAAATTGAGGGCTGATGGGGATTGGGAGAGAGGGGAAGGGGGGTGATGGGCATGGAGGAGGGCGCTTGTTGGGATGAGCACTGGGTGTTATATGGAAACCAACTTGACAATAAACTATGAAAGAAGATAAGTCCAATGCCCCATATGCCTTTTTTTGAGAAGAAAATAATGAGTACTTTGACCTATGGGGAAAGACTCTCTACTCCTTTGTCTACAGAATCAGAAAGATACCTGAATGTAGCTCCTACCTTCGTAACTTGTCTAGCCAATGGCCTCGTACTTCTCCAAGCAAGTGGGTATCAGCCAAAAACATGACTTTCAGGGTCTCTTGTCCACTGTTATGGGCTGGAGTTTTCACCTCAGGCCAATCGCATCGAAAGATCACTAAGTAATAAATTAAATATTCACAAAATAGAAGCACAGCAAAGACAACAGCTATGAGTTTCGACACCAAGAAGCTCCTCCTTTTTAACAGACCAAGATGCTGCCTTCCAAACCCCAGCCTGATCACGGCCATCTCTCCTTCCCAGGAGTCATCAGCAACCAGGAGAAAAATCCATCAAGAATTCACCAGGAGGCAATTGTGGAATCCTGCATAAGAAGCAGCAGATGTCCGGGGCTTAGCCATGTACCTGCAGGGAAAAGAGAAAGGACTGGATTATGTTCCATAATAATGCCACAATCACTAGCTCATTCTTTTAAGAACTAATGAATTACAGAATCCTATCTATATTCCCACATATATGAAGTATCCGGTACTCGTACAAGGATAATATATCCAATTATGCTAGAAGAATGATCTTCTCACTAAGACAATAAAGTTTTACTACCACTTTGGAAATCCTTAAACAACAATCTGTCCAGACAATGTTAAGGTAGGGCACATAAGAGGGAAAGTCAACAAGTATTAAGTAAGTGTAACTTGAATCCCAAAAGGATTTGCCACCCTTCCTGGACCATACAAATCAACAGGCCAGAAGCCCCCTGTCTTATGGTGCCTCCGGTGTCAATTCATCGCTTTTCCACGCTGCTTTTCCACAAAAGCAAACCACATGCTTCAGAGATCCGAGCAATGCATTCGCTCTGGGCTCAGAGGCTGGGGACTCACAGAGCCATACATCTGTCAATGATGCATTCAGATTATATGTTTCACAAACATGGGTTTTCACTTGCAAATTGGCCTTAAAATTCTGGACTTAAAATTCCTTTGTTTTGATTCGATCAAATATATCCAAAGCAACCATTTGGTCTTAATATCTCAGTTTCTTTCAAAAGGCCGAAGGATCTCCTGAAATCCTAAAAACAGCAGCTGAAACTTTCTAAAACCTTAATGTTTCCTCACACCATAGACAAGTTGAGAGGAAGGAACGCCACCCTTCTGGAGTTGTCTTAGAATTCTCCTCACATGCAAAGCTTGGTTCTATACAGGCTTGAAGTTCCTGGAGCTGAAAACCAGAATGACAACTTTCTAATTGCTCCTCTACACCTACTTCCTTTCATCAGAGAAGCCGGTTTCAGTGGTGACAGCTAAGATCCAGGAACACGGCAAGGGGACATGGATGGCCTGGAACACGCAGGCCCACGCTGCCCTCGGAGTGCGGCAGACAGTGGGGTTCAGGAGCCGAGGGGACCCAAAGCTGCAGTCCATCAGCTTCCCTGGACCAAGGGAGCAGGACAGGACACACAGAGACAAACCATCTGTTTGCACCCACAGGGGGCGCTGGCTCTCCAGGACGGGTTTCCAGGTACATTTGATCCAGTGGAGGCTCAGCCTGGCCCCTGCCTCCAGGCTGACTGCAGCAAAGGCAGGGAACTATTCCTCAGCTTCCTTACGGAAGCTTGTTTGTTAGACAAACTAAAGGTTGGGAGAGCCCCTGCCTTTCCCTCAAGCGTCTGTGTTCTTTTTTCCACAAAGAACTTAAAGATATTCCACAGGGAGCCATTCAGCCAGAGGACTCAGAATGAACAAAGGGAGGGAAGGAGGAAGGGAGGGAGGGAAGAAGGCGAGGGAAAGTGGGAGGGAAGGGGGAGGGAAAAGAAAGGAAAAGCAAAGAGGGACAGCGAGCTAGCTGGTACTGTTACATACTTCCTTAAAAAACCCTAACACTGTGTCAATCGGCTCTCTGGTATAATGCGATCATTTTTAAGAAACAGAACTCCTCACCAGAGGGAAAACCATTTTTTGACCACCTCTGACACCAAATCCTTAAAACAAAAATTCCTTTGGCTCAAATCTTGGAAAACGACTTTTCTTTCTCTATCCAAACTCATCAGGTTGCTCATCAAATTACTATCCCCAATGTAGTCTTCAATGTTATGGCCAAAGCACATCCCCTTCTACTTCCTGAAATGAAGACAATAATTTTTAGGGCTGATGGGGTGGGGAAAGGGATCCATTCTCTCCCCAAAACTGACACAGCAAGCCCCCCCATGCCAGGTGCGCAGTGGATGACCAGACGCCACTCCTACCTTATGGCTGCTTCCAGATGGGTATAAAGTGATCTCCTCCTTGGGTTCAAGCCAACTTGCACTTAAGCCAGCCCCAGAGACAGTGAGGAGTTTCTCATTTTCTGACTTAGCTAACCAGTGAAAAAACATGTTGACCACCAGCCACTGGGAGAAACAGACACTCCCACCCTTGGGGCAGACATGGGACATCTGAGCCTACCTTTCTTGATAGGAGAGAAGAAACCTGAAGTCTATAGGGAATCAGCAGCCACTTGTTCCTCTTCCAGTATTTTCTCCTATGTTATGAATACCCACCAGCAGAGAGAGTAGCTATGATGAACTGGGAAAAACCCCACCTACTACTCGGCTCTGCTCTATGTGACCTGGGCAAGCCACTTGGCCTTTCTGAGACTCATAATGGGACTCACACCACTTGCCTCCACCAGTGCATGGAGATTAATAGAAATAATGTTCACAAATGTACCTCTTTATAAACAGTAAATCTTTCCATGAAGCAGGTATATCAGGATTAGATTAGACAATAAGCCGTACAATCTGATGAATTTCAACAGGCTCAGAGCAATGGAATTCAATTCAAATGACCATAATCAGATCAGGGAGAATGAAGCCCAGCGGAGAATAAAGGCCAGAAACTGGAGAGAATCTAGAAGCTGTGGCCACCTTCGGCTGTTTTCCCCACTCATTTACTGAGTTAGACTTCCTAATGCTTGACATCCAAAGCCCCTATACCCTTTCCTCACTAAAAGTAAACTTGACATTTTATCTCAACCATAATATGTAGGCCAATGATTTAAAATCTCCACAGCCACACAGCCTGAATAACTAAATGCTACTATATCTTCCATGTCCAGGCTTTTAAAGGCTAACGGAGAGAAACTGTGTTCTTTCCAAGACAAAATGAAAGGAGGGTCTGGTCCTTTATCGGAGCACTGTGGAGTGCTGCACGGAGGCCTAAATACAACGAGCTACTCCTGCCTACTCAGAAAATACATGGGGGGAAAAGGTGTTTATCCATCTTATATCACTAGATGTAAAACTAAGCTATGAGTGGTTTCAATAAAGATGATACTCTCTGGTTGCCAGGAGCTTAGAGGAAGGAAGGGAGGGATGAACCAGTGAAGAACAGGGAATGTTTAGGGCAGTAAAAATACTCTTGGTGGATATAACGTCATTACACATTGTTAAAACCCTTAGAATATGCATCACAAAGAGCAGACTTAATATGAACTTGGACTTTGGGTGATTCTGATACGTCATTGTAGATTCATCAATTGTAACAAATGCATGGCTCTGGTGGAAGAAGATGATTGATAATGGAGGAGGCTGTCCTGTGGGTGGGGGGGGGGCAGGGGTATATGGGAACTTTCTACTTCCTGCTCAATTTTGTTGTGAACCTAAAACTGCTCTTTAAAAAAAGTCTATTAAAAGTTGGCAAGATTGTAAATTTTATGTATATTTTACCACAATTAAATTTTTTTTTTTAATTTAAAGTAATGATATTCTGATACGTAACACAGCATGGTGAACCTTGAGGATAATATACTAAGTGAAAGAAGCCAGACACAGGATGACAAATGCTACAGGCTTCCACTTACATGAGGGGCCTAGAGTAGACAGATTCATAGAGACAAAGTAAAATGGTGGTGGCCAGGGGGTCAGGGGCAGGGAATGAGCAGTCATTATTTACGGGGTTTCAATTTGGGAAAAAAAAAAAGTTCTGGAAATGGATAGTGGTGATGGCTGAAGAATAATGTGAAGTACTGATTGTCACTGAACTGTACGTTTCAAAATGGTTAAAATGTGGGGTGCCTCGGTGGCTCAGTCGATTAAGCGTCTGACTTCAGCTCAGGTCATGATCTCACGGATCGTGGGTTGGAGCCCCGCGTCGGGCTCTGTGCTGCCAGCTCAGAGCCTGGAGCCTGTTTCAGATTCTGTGTCTCCCTCTCCCTATGCCCCTCCCTTGCTCAGGTTCTGTCTCTCTCATCTCTCAATAAATAAATGTTAAAAAAAAAAATTCAAAATGGTTAAAATGTTTAGCTTCATGTTATGCAGGTTTTGCCACAATTTTCTTTAGAAAAGCAGCAGCACACAAACACGCAACACACACCCAAGACCCTACAAGCTAACAATGTTCTATAGCAAGGGCTTCTTTTAGGATCTAAATCCACTACTTTTATATTTATAATTTTTTAAATGTTTATTTGTTTTTGAGAAAGAGACAGAGGGCAAGCAGGGGACTGGCAGAGAGAAAGAGAGACACAGAATTGGAAACAGACTCCAGGTTCTGAGCTGTCAGCACAGAGCCCGACGTGGGGCTCAAACCCCCAAAGCCAGATATCATGACCTGAGTCGAAGTCGGACGCTTAACCGACTGAGCCACCCAGGCCCCATAAATCCCCTACATTTATATTTAAAGAGAAGTCTTGAAGCCTGTGTTCAAGGGACTATCACTAAGTCACCTTCTCACCTTTTAAAGGATACAACTGTAAATGAGACTGGTATGAAGGCTCTAAGTTGGCTTATGTTCCCCCAAGCCAAAGCACCTTTAGCTGAAATAAAGCAAAATGTGTGTGTTACTGAAGACTCTTTCATTGGTTTAACTATTATTAAAGTGGAAGATGCATCAGTTCCCAGAGGGCACAGTGGCTGCTGCCTTGCGGCACAAGAAGGAACCCAATTGGTGTTTAAAATACAAAAATAAGCTGAAAACCACACACTAAAGAGAAATGGCTGACATGTTATTGTTCTAGAATAGCTCCTTTAAATGACAGCATAAAATATTAATATACAAAACTAGTGTGCATCGTTGTTCTATACTGCCTAACACATAATATAGTAGCTGCACAATAAACCATAAAAGAAAAAATAAAACAAAACACAATTAAAAAAAATTTTTTAAATATAGTAGCTGCAGTCCATAACTGGGAACAAAATAGTTTATCCATTAACTGGCTTTTAACTTTAAAGCTATCATTAAGTATCTAAATTCCCTCTACCCAAAAACAGCATTAAAAAATGTTTAACAGGCACTGACTAGTAGCTTTTTCTCTTACTTGTCCATTATCTTAAGTATATTACCACAGTGCCATCAATGGCTATTTGCATGTTAAATATTCCATCTTACATGGTATTTTTTAATAAGACGGATGGGGGGGTCAATCTACATCAGTAAACTAGAAAGTTAAGAGGCCCCTACGATTTAATACATGGGCCTTAAGTAATCGTGATTCTCCAGCAAATGAATGGCTGATTCCCAGGATACCGTTTTTCAACAGGCCAACTTGCAACCTTAAAAAGGCAAGGAGGTTCCTGTTTGCAGTAACAAAAAATGGCAATTAACCGAGAAGCCTAAATATTATAGCACGGTCATAAGAATGCATGGAAAATCCTGCTTGTTGTGGGCGGCCAGCAACACGCGAGGCGAATCGGAAAGCAAAGCCTCGCGGGCGAGCCGGGCCCCAGTCACTTCACCTGTCCCGCGGCCCTCCGACCATGCCCGCCAGCTTCCAGCTTCCGCGCGACGGCCCGGCGGGTCCGGGTCGCCCCTGGAACCCCGCCCCGCCGGCCTCCGGCGGGCGGGGAAACGCACAGTCGCCGGGACAGGCCCGCCCCGCCCCCGCCCCGCCCCCGGCCCTGGCCCCGCCCCGCCCCCGGGCCCGCCCCGAGGCGCGCGCCCGCCAGTGCCGGCTTTCTGGAACGCGGGCTCCGGAAGCTAGTGGGGCGGAGCGGACAGACCAGCTGCGTCTTCCGCAACGACGAGTGTTTTGCGGCTTCGTTAACGTCTTCTAGAGTTTTCTCCCGCTTGAGTCCTTAGTGCTGCAGCTCCCTGGAACCCCCGGAACAACATCCAGGAAGGCGAGGGGCGTGCGGCGACAGCGAAGCCGTTGGCGCACGGAGCGCCCGTCAGGGGAGGAGGGGGGCACGGGCGTTGCGGGTCAGGGCGGCCCCGGTGCCTCGCTTGTGGGTCAGGGCGGGCCGGGTCTCGCTTCCTGTCTACATGGCCGCGGCTCGAGGCGGACTCCGCGTCCCAGGCGTCGTTGGGTGGCGCTGTGATTGCTCGCTCCCTCCTCCTGCCCCGCCAGACCGCGCTCCGGGGTCCCACGCAGGGTCTCCCTCACCTTCGGCTTCTCCGGGGCCTGGCAAAATGCCTTCAGCGAGTGTGTGATGAATACATGAGACCTTCAGAGCGACTATTGGGGGATTTTTCCCCCTTTTTAAAAAACTAATGTTTTAACAGTATAGCACGGCATGGTCTACTTTTCAAAGGGCTTTCACATCGGTTACTTCAAATAATCCTCAGAATAAGCCTGTAAATTAAGAGCAAGAACCATTACCCCGCGTTACAAGAAGTAAAACTGAAGCTCGAAGCAATAACACGCAGGGTTTTCCAACCAGCGAATTCTAGTATATTTTTGCAAACTGTGAGTATAGTTAATGTACAGAGATGAAATAGAAATCGTATAGAAAGCAACCTGCCAAATGCCTGGTATCTGGTTGGTAACCAGTAAAAGGAAACATTATTATTGATTAAGAATATTGTAATATTTTCAAATACCTCCTGATTGACAATTTTACCATCACAAAAAGTGGGACAGCCTGCCGCCACATGCACACCGGTATGATGCAATAGAAGTCCGCAACATCATCTCTAAAGTGTCCTCACTAACCAGAAAAGAAAAAAAAAAAAAAAGTAAGTATATCTGGTAAAGCCTAAAACTAACTCCAAGCTTAAGGAAATATAGGGACCGGATGAACAGGTTAAATGACACAACCAGGAAGCAATTCCCTGGATCCAGAACGTGGAACTTCTACAGACCAACTGGCCTAACTTCTTTATTCAACAAATAAACAGCATCAGAAAAGGGAGAGGAGGGGAGGAAGATTTGTTGTTACAAAGCAGGGTTGAGAAACACATTGAGCCAAAGGCAAGTATGTGGGTCTTGTTTGGGTCATAATTAGGACAAACTAGCTTTAAATAAAAAAAAAAAAAGGAATTAAAGATTGGGAAACTTGCATATGGAATGGATGTTTGATGCTACTAAAGAATTATCCGGTGATTTTTCTGTGATAATGCTATTGTGGTTATTTCTTTTCTAAGACTAGAGAAATTAAAGTACAGCCAAATTATAAATTTCTGGAATTTAATATTGCAGGAAATTAAAAAACAAAGAGGAATGTAGGAGAAGCAACAATATTCACAAAATGTGGATAATGTTGAAGCAAGGAGAGGGGTGGCTTAGTGGGTGGAAGAACAATGGCCCCCAGAGACATTCATATCCAAATCTCTGGACCTATGGATACATTACCTTGCATGGGAAAAGGGACTTGATTAGGGATTAAGGTGAAGGACTTTGAGGCGAGATGTTCACCTGGGCTATGCCACTCAATCCAACCTAATCGCTAGGTCCTTCCTTCCCTGTGGAAGGATAGCTGTATCCATTTGGGGAGGTAACACAGGGGTGTCAGTCCATTCAGGTTGCTATAACAAAACACAAAATACTGAGTGGCTTAGAAACAACACAAATGTATTTCTCTAACTTGTGGATGCTGGAAGTAGAAGATCAAGGTACCAGCATGGTTGTTGAAAATTGGGGGCCACCTTCCTGGTTCAGCACTGGCACCTTCTCACTGTGCCCTCATGTGGTGGAAGGAGTGAGGCAGCTCCAGGAAATCTCTTTTATAAGAACACTGATCCCATTCATGAGGGCTCCACCCTCATGAGCGGACATTTCCAAAAGCCTTACCTCCAAACACCATCACAGCAGTCATTAGGATTTCAACATACAAATTTTGGAGGGACATAAACATTCAGTGCATAGCAGAGGATCAAAGAGATGCAGCCTGACAAGGACTTCCCCTGCTGATAGTGATGTTGAAGATAGAAGAAGGAAGGGAACACAAGCCAAGGAATGTGGGCAGGTGGCTCCTAGAACCTGTAAAGGGCAAGGAAATGGATTTTCATAGAACCACCTTGATTAGCCCGGTGAGACTTCAGTGGACTACTGACCTACAGAACAATAACAAGTTTGTGCAGTCTTAAGTCACTAAATTCATAGTGATTTGTTGCAGCAGCAGTAGAAAACCAATATAAGCATTCGTTCTATTTCTCTCCACTTTTGTGTATGATTAAAAATTGTTATAATGTTAGTTAAGTCCACAAAACATAGGCCTAACTAAGAAATACATTTTAAAAATGTATAATATTTATTTTTGAGAGGTAGAGAGAGACAGAGCACAAATGGGAGGAGCAGAGTGAGAGGGAGACAAAGAATCTGGAGCAAGCTCCAGGCTCCAAGCTGTCAGCACAAACTGTGAGATCATGACCTGAGCCGAAGTCAGACTTTTAACTGGCCTGTGTAGGGCTCTGTGCTGACAGCTCAGGGCCTGGAGCCTGCTTCGGATTCTGTCTCCTCCTGTCTCTGCCCCTCCCCCACTTGTGCTCTGTCTCCTTCTGTCTCTCAAAAATAAATGTAAAAAAAATTTTTTTAAAGAAAAAAGAAAACCACAAGGAAAAAAATGTGGGAAGACCACAAATACATGGAAGTTAAATAACATGGTATTAAGCAATGAATGGTTCAACCAAGAAATCAAATAGGAAATCAAACAATATATGGAGACAAATGAAAATGGAAACACAATGGTCTGAAACCTTTGGGCTGCAGCAAAAGCTTTTTTTAAGAGAAAAGATTATAGCAATGCAGACCTACCTCAAGAAGCAAGAAAAATCTCAAACAACCTAACCTTGTAACTATCAGGGATAGAAGAAGAAGAAACACAAAAACAAAACCAGTAGAAACAAGGAAATAATAGATTAGAGCAGAAATAAATGAAATAAAAACTAAAAAACAATGGAACACATTGTTCCAGATAGAACAATGGAACAGATAAAACCAGGAGCTGCTGCTTTGTAAAGATCAACAAAATTGATAACCTTTAACTTGACTCAAAAAAAAAAAAAAAAAGGGGGAGGCTCAAACAAAATCAGGAATGAAAGGAGACATTAACAACTGACACCACAGAAATACAAAGGATATAAGAGAATATGATAAATTATATGCCAACAAATTGGACAACCTAGAAGAAATGAATAAATTCCTAGAAACATGTAATCTCCCAAAATTAAATCAGGAAGAAAGTGAAAATTTGAACAGATCAATTACTAGCAATGAAGTTGAATCAGTAATCAAAAAATTCCCAACAAACAAAAGTCCAGGACCAGACAGTTTGAAAGGCATAGTTGAGTAATCATTCTTGCATTTTAACCATAATTGCCCTATAGAAAAATATTTACCTGCATCCTGTGCATGAACACAGTGGAGAAAAGAGACGTGAAGCAGAAACTCCAGAGTATCCAGCTAGTTGCATTCTTGCCTTCATTCACCCGTGCAATGCAACAGACATGCGCTGAGACTTTCTGGATCCCAGGGACTAGGTTTTCAAAGATTATTCTAGGGATTGTGCTGTGAAATAGAGATGAAGCTGTGGAAGAGAGAATAGTAATCCTGACATTCAGCAGAAGGACTTTTGTGAAGACAGTGTATTAGCTTTCTATTCTGGGTAACAAATCACCACAAACTGAGCAATTTACAACATCCTGCTCCGAGTCTTCTTCCAGCTCATGGTTGCTGGCAGAATCAGCTCCATCTGATTGTAGGACTGAGCTCTCAGCAACCAGAGCCTCCCGCTGTGCCCACCACATGGCGCTCCCCACAACATGGCAATTGCTTCTTGAAGGCCAACAAGGCAGTATCTGCTGCTGTTGGTTCAAATCTATCTGACTTCTGTTTCTTCTCTAGACCTTAAAGGAGTGCCATGATAAATCGGAACCACCTAAAATAATGTCTCTTTTGATTAACTTAATGTCAACTTGTTAGGGACCTAAATACCTTTACAATATCCCTTTACTGTTACCGCATATCATACCCTACTCACAGGAGTGGTAGTCCGCCATATTCATAGGTCCCACCTTCACTCAAAGGGAAGAGTCGATAGGATGTATACACTGGGAGACATGTTGGGGGACAACGTAGTGTTCTATTTGCCCTATGTGGTATTCTGCCCTCATTTCAAGAGAAAAACCAAAGTCCAGAGAGTCCCAGGATATCTGACAGAGCAGACTCCAGATTCGGCTGTGCACAGTCCTGAACTCTACAGACAATCACCAGAAAATTTAAAGACACCAAAACCAAACTGTGAAGGGCTGAGGGGTGGGGGTGGGGGACAGCAGGGAGAGGAGGCGATATAAGTATACAAATAGCAAAAAAGCAAATCAAACACAAAAGCAAAATGAGAGCTCACTAACAATTTTATAAATGAGAGAATTGCTTGAATGTAAATTACTATTCTCAGTTTATCTGGTCTATCAATCTTGATATGACACATTGAGTTCTTGCTCAAGATGGTGAAAGAACTTAAAGGAGCCCTTCCCTACTTCAGTTATCCATTTACAACTTAGATATTGTTCTCTAACCATTGCAATTTTTTTTTTAAAGAAAACATCCTCTCAGGGATGGAAACATTTTCCCTTCCTGTATTGTAGGTTCTTTCGTTGGTCTAATTAAATTGATAAGAACAGATTAACAGGTAAAAAACAAATGAATTTCAGGGCGCCTGGCTGGCTCAGTCAGTAGAACATGTGACTTGATGCAGGGTCATGAGTTCAGGCCCCACACTGGGCGTGGAGCCTACTTACACACACACACACACACACACACACACACACACATTTTGTACCACTAAACAAAAATTCAACTGAGGAAATTTTAAAGATCTAATTGGCCTTATTAATCAATTCATGAATCAACATCCCGTCTAGCAAGGAGAGGAGAGCTCCAAAGGGCTACAGAAAGGGAAAGATTTTAAAGGACAAAGAAATTATGAACAGGAAAAAAAAATTATTTCAAGTGAGGTCACCTACATTTGGGGACAAAAAGGTCTTATTAGGTGAGGTACTTCATCTTCCTTTGGGGGACGGAGCAAGCCTATGTGACACATTACCTTATTGGTGCCAACCAGAAAACTGCTCAATTAAGACTGCATTTCTGGGGGGGCGGGGGTTGCAGCCACAATTAGATTAGGTAGTAAGCCCTGGTTTAGCGACGTGATCTAGCACAAGCAACTCCAATTTGGGCTTGTTTCTTTTTAACAGTATGTACAAGAGCCTCATAAAAATACAAGATCCAGCGGCACCTGGGTGGCCTAGTCAGTTAAACATCCGACTCTTGATCTCAGGTCAGGTCTTGATCTCAGGTTCATAAGTTCAAGCCCCACGTTGGGCTCCATGCTGGGCATGAAGCCTACTTAAAAATAAGAAATATATATATATTCCAAAGCGTAGTCAGCAGCCAGGTTACTGAGGCTTATGTAGCATCCTGAACTAAAGAAAGAGGTAGGGGTCTGGGGTTACAAAGGGAAGGCAGGCCATTCACAGGAAGGCAAGAGGAGATGTAGAAAACAAGATTTGGCCTGTTATATACATAAATTTCTTAGGTAAAAAGTTAATAACTCTCTCCCTGGTTCAGGCCCCCTTTCCAATGTAAGTTTAGGCAATTGAGGAGGCAGTAAAGAGCTTTTCCTGAATCTCATAGGTTTCGATTGCCTGTAGCTCAAAACAATCTTTATGCCAAAGAGACATTTTGAGGTGGCAAAATCTGCTCCCCTTTGGGGTTCTGTTTTAGATAATAACATCTAAGGTCAAAAACAACAATAACCTGGTCTATTTTTCCGATCCTCCAAGTAGTGCATGCAATGTGATCATAATAAATTACAGAGAACAATGGAGAAAGGGAATTTTCACATGAGACACCTGCAGCAAAAGATTAAATGATTGACACGGTTTATATCATTGCAGTTTACAAATCACCTTCCTACTTCATCTATCCAATATAATCCCAACTAAATTAGAAAGTCCTTGAGGAGAGAGGCTACGTTTCATACCTACTCCTATCTAGAATAGCTTGTAAAACAGAATACACAACACATAACTGATTCCCAGTAAAAATACAGCAGTGCCCCCTTATCCATGGAGGATAGATTCCAGAACGCCCAGTGGGTGCTCAAAATGGCAGATAGGTCTGAACTCTATATATACTGGTTTTTCTTGTGCATACATACCTATGATAAAGTTTAATTTATAAATTAGGCACAGTATGAGATTAACAGCAACAGCTAATAATAGAATAGAACAATTATAATGGTATACTGTAATAAAAGTTATGTGAATGTGGTTTCTCTCAAAATATCTTATTGTACTGTATTCATCTTTCTTCTTATGATGATGTGAGATGATAACATGTCTACATGATGAGATGAAGTGAGGTGAGTAATGTAGGCATGTGATGCAGAATTAAACTACTTTTGACCTTCTGATCATATTTCAGAAGGAGGATTGTCTGCTTCCAAACCATGGTTGGCCACAGGTAACTGAAAGCAAAACTCAGATGAGGGGGGTGACTACCGTATGTTGGATAAATTGAAAATATTCAGATATTTTAAGTTATAGTCAGAGATCCTAGTTTAGGGATCTTTAATCACTTTTAAGGAAAATTGCTTTTAAGCAGCTTGGTTAGTGCTTTCCTGGGAGGATTACTCTGATTTGTTCTGCACTGATATGTTTATTTCAAGTCAGAGTCCAGAGTGCAGATTATTAAGACTGATTCATTAAAATTTCCCTTTCTTTTTTTTTTTTTTTTTTAACATGAATCAAGGGCCATTTATCTATTAGGTGTGGCAGACTGAGTAACTAGATAACAAAACCAAAACCCATGGACAATGCTTGGGACAAAATTAGTTGACAAGGTATCCCCACAAACCCAAAAATATAAAGGCAGTGAGGATGAACCCACAGAATAGCTTCAAGATTTGGTGCTATCAGAGTATGTGTGGGAAGAAACAGGGGAACAATAAAACTTCTAATGGACCTGAAGACAGAGGAACGTGGGGCACCCGGGTGGCTCAGTCATTTAGCTGTCTGACTTCAGCTCAGGTCATGATCTCATGGTTCATAGGTTTGAGCCCCACATTGGTCTCTGTGCTGATAGCCCAGAGCCTGGAGTCTGCTTTGGATTCTCTCCCTGTCTCTCTGCCCCTCCCCCGCTCACTCTCGGTCTCTCTGTCTCTCTCTCAAAAATAGATAAACATTAAAAAAAAAAAAAAAGATAGAGGAACCCTGAAACAGCATTGAGTTTCTCCAATGGAGAGAACATCATCGAAAAACAGGAAGGTCATCCATCCAAGAGCAGTAAATGCAAGGAACCCACAGATAGACTGAAGGGCTAGAACAATCCTTCCTTCCCCACAGGGATAAGGATAAGACCCCACACAGAGTGGAAACTCCCAGGATGCAATAAGAATTTTGCCGGACATGGACAAGAGAAATGTGGGAAAGATAAAAGACAGAGAAAAGTGGGAAAGGAGAAATTTCAGAAGGCAAGCTTGCATATTTGAGCACACTTACAGAGAACAGAAGGCGTTGTTAAGTGAACTGGCAAAAGCACTCCAGAATTCTGCTCCTTCTGGAGGCCCAGGAGAAATAAATTCAAGTAAGAATGTGCATTAGAAAAGAATCATGGTTGGGTCACCTGGATGGCTCAGTTGGTTAAGCTGGTTAAGCTTAAGTGTCTGACTCTTGACTTTGGCTTGGGTCATGATCTCACTATTTGTGAGTTTGAGCCCCACACCAGGCTCTGCATCTGACAGTGCAGAGCCTGCTTGGGGGTCTCTCTCTCCCCTCTCTCTCTGCACCTACCCCGCTTGCCCTCTCTCTCTCAAAATAAATAAACGTAAAAAAATTTTTTTTAAGAATCATGGTTGAAAACTATCAGAGTTCTTGTCAGAAGAAAACTGAGCAAGAAGTAGAATGACATTTCTACAGACAACGAAAGTGAACCACAAGGACACACCCACAAAACACAACCAAGCCAGAGTCTGTGATTTCAAAACAAGCTAAAGGCATCAAGAAAATGAGGGAAGATTAAATCAGAACTAGGGAAACTCAGAAATGAAGTAGCAACTCAGGAAAGAATTGGAAATAAGACAAGAAAAATGAAGAAATAGAAACTAAATGAGAGGAAACAAACAATGACCTTAAAATCAACAAGAAATGAGGAAAGGTGGGACACCTGGGTGGCTCCGTAAGTTAAGCATCTGTGGCCCAGGTCATGATTTTGCTGCTCTTGGGTTCGAGCCCCACAAAGGGCTTTGTGCTGACAGCTCAGAGCCTGGAGCCTGCTTCAGATTCTGTGTCTCCCCCTCTCTCTGCCCCTCCCCCATTTGCACCCTATCTCTCAAAAATGAAAAAATGTTAAAAAAAAAAAAAAAGGAAATGAGGAAAGGCAAAATGAGCTTTAAAGAATATGACAAATATGGAGGATAGGCAAGAATATCTTACAGATAATAGGAGTCCTTAAAGAAAAAGTAATAGCAGAGAACAGTTCTAAAACCTGTGATTCAAGAAGGCTTTTCTGAAATAAAAAATGCAC